GGACTGGGAAGCAGAAGGTAAGTCGGTCCAAGGGTCAGGGCAACTAGGGAACACCCGCCTGGGTAAAACTTGGTTTAGATTATGAGGTGTGGTGAGACCGAGTTGCTAGGGCCACGTGTATGAACTGTGGCAACTATGGCCACACTTCTCGGACGTGCCGAGGCAAAAAGGTCACCACGAAGGTAGCCTCTCCAACAATAGTGGGCTTATCTTCGAACCCTGGCAGTGCGTCAGCGAGCACTTCGCAGGGACACACCTCGGGCCATTAGGAGTGTTAGCCGCTCTTACTCGTGCTGAAGTGGTAACGTTGCCTTCCCCACTTCAGGCGTTAGCCAAGGCTAGTGACCCATCCATCGCCCCGCGGACACATCCAGACCCACCGATGCTCGGTTCGATTCCCTAGAAGAGTTACAGGCTGAGTGGTCAGGGAAGGACCCCAGAGACTCTTGGGTGATGATAAGTAAAGGTCCTAGGGGTGAACATTTCGTGGTAGAGGTTGATGTAGGTGGCCGCAAAGTGGGTGCCTTCACAGACATAGGCTCTACATGAAACTTCATCAGTCGTGCTTGTGTGGCTAAGCTACGCTTAGGGACCAAGTGCAGTGGCTTAGCAGATCTGTAGGATCTACGCTAGCCAATAAGCACCGCATGATTGTCCAGGACTATGTCAACGACGTAGTCTGCACCTTTTCCTATGGAGGTGGGGAAGTGAGACATAAAATCTCATTCCTTGTCAGCGACAAACTGCCATTTGACATGTTGCTAGGTATGTACTACCTCGAGGTCGCTCAACCTCAGTTTGATTGGGATAGAAGGTGTTGATACACAAGCTGCCAAATGGTAGAACCGTTAGACTGCAAAAGTTCAAAATTAACAGTCTAGTGGAAAACTACGGCTGCATGTGTGCCGCCTCTTTCTATAACTACTATAAGCAAAATCGCGAGGAGGGCATGCATCTAGTCTTTGTCTCTGAGAAAGGGGAGGCCGTAAAATCAACCCCAGAGGTAGAATCAGTCGTCGCTCAGTATTCCGACCTTTTTGAGGAGCCCACATGTGTGGTGGAAAGGGAGGTCGTCCATGCAATAGAGGTTGTCCCTGGTAGTAAGGTACCTAGAGGGCGAATCTATAGGATGTCTCCTACGGAGTTGGATGAGCTCCGCTGCCAGCTCAAGGAGCTCACAGAGAAGGGATGGATTCGGCCTAGTACCTCCCCTTACGGTGCGCCAGTATTATTTGTTCCTAAGAAAGGAGGTACCCTAAGGATGTGCATTGACTATAGGGGCCTCAAAGCCATCACCGTAAAGAACGAAGAGCCCCTACCCCGCATTGACAACCTATTGGATAGAGTGGAGGGATGTCGGTACTTCACAAAGATAGATCTGAAGTTCGGATACCATCAAATTGCTATTAGACCTAAGGACCAGCACAAAACCGCCTTCCAGACCATGTATGGTCTATACGAGTTTGTGGTGATGCCCTTTGGCCTATGCAATGACTCTAGAACATTCCAGCACGCAATGAATAGGATTTTTCATAATTACTCAGACAAGTTTATCGTCGTGTACCTCGACGATATACTTATCTTTACTAAGACTCTAAAGGAGCACGCGGAGCACTTGAAAACAGTGCTAGGTCTCCTAAGACAGCATCAGTACAAGGTAAACTTGGAGAAATGTGAGTTCGGTCGCACCAAGATCTTGTATTTGGGTCATGAAATCTTCGTCGATGGGTTGAGGCCGAACGATGCTAAAGTGGCCAGCATACGAGACTGACCCATACCTTAGACTGTTACTGAGGTGCGGTCATTTTTGGGGATGACGGGCTATTACCGTCCGTTTGTTACTATAGCATCCCCACTAACTGACCTTACTCGCCTTTACACCCCTTGGGAGTGGACTGAAAAGTGTGAAGCAAGCTTCAAGAAATTGAAGTATGCTTTGACACACTACGAAGTTCTCAAACTTTCGAACCCTAAGCAAACATTTGTAGTGACCACAAACGCCAACCAATATGGCATAGGCGCGGTCCTTGCACAAAGGGAAAGGAAAAAGTTGAGGTCAATCGAGTACATGAGCAAAAGGACGCCATCCCAAAAGCTAGCAAAGTCCATGTATGAGCGTGAGCTATATGCCCTATATAGAGCGCTGGTCCATTGGAGACACTATCTCCTAGGCAGGTTCTTCTACTTAAGGTCTGACCATGAGACTTTGCACTGGATCAAGACACAACTTGTACTCTCTGGCGCACTCAAACGATGGATTCAAGTGATAAACATGTATGACTATCAACTTGATCCAATCAAGGGAGAGTATAACAAGGTGGTTGATGCACTATCGCGCATGGCAGATTATCTGGGCGCGCTAATCACTGAATTTGGCATATCTGACGATCTAACTCGATCTTTGGTGGAGGCCCATCAACGAGATCCAGTTATGTATGAGATTATTCATAAATTTCAAGAGAAGGATAAGTTAACTTTTGACGAATTTACGATGGTAGATGGCTTATTGTTTCTTGAGAAGGCAGGGAATAAACGGTTGTGTGTCCCAGATAGAGAGTCTTAACGTAGTTTGTTTTTAGGAGAATGTCATGATGCAACTGGTCATTTCGGATATAAAAAAACATCGGCTAACGTAGTGCAGAGATTTTGGTGGCCCACTATGATGCGAGATGCGAAAAAGTACGTTGAAACCTGCCAGGTTTGCCAATAGGACAAACCTAGGCCTTAGGCTCTGCTTGGGCTTCTCAAGCCCTTGCCGATTCCCGAAGGTCCAGGTCAAAGTGTGTCCATGGACTTCATGGATACTCTTGTGACCAGCAGGATAGGCAAGAGTCACATCTTTGTTGTAGTCGACCGCTTTTCCAAGTATGCAAGACTTATCGCTATGCCAGAGACTGCTAAGACTGATTACGTCATCAAACTATTTCTGGAAAATTGGGTACACGATTTCGGACTCCCTACATCTATAGTGAGTGACAGGGATGTAAGATTCACCAGCGAACTGTGGCAATCAACAGCTGAATAGATGGGCACAAAGCTGCAAATGACGTCAGGGAATCACCTTGAGTCAAATGGCCAGGCAAAACAGATGAACAAAGTAGTACAACACCTGCTTCGGCATTATATTAAGCCAAGTCAGGATGACTGGGACGAGAAGTCACAGTCTGTACAACAATGCTGTGCACAGTGCTACTGGTATGACTCCCAACCAACTGCATCTTGGTTGGAAGCCCAGAACTGCACTTGATTTTCTGTTACCCGAAAGACAGAGCACTGCAACACCTGCAACATAGAGTTTGCTGTTAAGTATGAGCAGATGTTCCAGCAGGCTGTAGAGCATATTCGAAAATCTCAGGATGCTATGATCGCATATGAGAATAAGCATAGACGGCCCTCTAACTTTCAGGTAGGTTATAGAGTATGGGTCAAATCATCTGAACTGGGTCAAGAGTTGGGCATATCTTGCAAATTGATGTCACAGTATTTCGGTCCGTGGGAGGTCCTAGACATAGTGGGGGATCAGATAGACGGACCTTCTTATGTAATTCACGTCCCACCTCATGTACGTACACACCCAGTTTTTCACGCCTCAAAGCTGGCACCTTTCGCAGAGACTGCACAATTTCCCTCCAAACGGTCAATGCTGCCCCCAACCATGGATGGTGAAGTGGACATCGACGGAATCGTGGAGCATCGTATGATGCCAGTGCCTAAACCGCCGGACAGAGGCCGCCCTCCCAAGTCGAGGATGCAGTATCGTGTCAGATTCAGACACCACCTTGATCCCAGCGAAGATCGGTGTTTCACAAGAGAAGAACTCCTGCGAACAGCACCTCAAGTGATTGCAGGCTATGAAAGAGAACTCAAGGGAAAGATGCCTACAGATTAGAAGACTTCTCAGAGGACTATCGAAGAAGAGGAGGAGGGAATGTGAGGATCTGGGTCCTCGGCAGGCCTAAGGGCCCCCTGTTGCAGATGTGCCCACCCTAAGTGAAGGCGGGCCTAACAAATCACGAGAGGCCATCGGCTGTCAATTTCGTATTTGGGGTCCAGGCAGTTGTGACGTGCCAGTTGGTTGAGGGAAACACAGGCCGAGCAGCAAAGACATTCCACGGCCCTCCAGGCTTTTCAGAAATGCAGCCCCTGGGCGAGATTCGCAGCCTCATACACAGATAGTTGGGAGGCCCAAGTGAACGGAGGCCCAGCAGCTGCATCAGAGGCACGGCCTCCTGGGGCCTACCGGAAGCTTCTGGGCAGAGGCCCAGGCCAGCCAGGCCGCCAATCGAGGCAGGCCCTTTCCATATAGGGAAGAGCTCGCTGCCTGGGCGAGCATTCAGGCACTTGCGAAGTGATGCGGCAGCGCTGCTGGAGCGATTGCTCGCGGGCTGCTGGGTGCTAAGGGCAAGGTGCTGTGCGCGTGCAGTCGTGCGGGAAGCAGGGCGCTGCTGAGGGCAGCGCCATAGCCCAGCCTTCATAGCTGGATGGGCTTGGACTACAGTGAGGCGCAGGGGTGGTCTTCGGGTGTACAGAGGGAAGACGTGGGTGTAAGTCAGGGGAGAGAGAAAAGGATGATGATGATGATGATGGTGTGAGGGCACATACCTGGTATTGGCGATGGTCTGCATTGGTTGACATCTTCAAGTACTTCGTGGGCTGCTGACTTCAACAATTGCATTGTCAATTAGTAGGCAGACAGTAGCTGTGTAGATAGTAGGCTGGGCGTCGAGCGCCAAGTAGGGAGAAGGGCCTGGACCCTCATGTTGGTGGTGGCGAAAGCAAGCTCTCATTGACATTGGTTTTCAGTGTTATGATTCTTCATTGGTGTTATATTGGTGCAATTCAGCTTTCTGGACACTGAGATACTATCTGGCCTTCACTGTGATTGTGTATTCTGGAAATTGTCATCTCGCTTCTGCTCATTTTCCTTGCACAAATATGCTACAGAATACTTCGCTCAAATTTCAGGGTTGCCATGATTGTTGCTGTGGGTCTCTGCGCAGGTTGAAGATTGACGACCCGGTAAATGCAGTGGCTATCCATTTTTTCTGTGGCATTTGGGGGACACTTGCAGCAGGCTTGTTTGCAGATCCAGATATTGTGAAAGATCTCTATCACATAACCAAGGCGCCAAATGGTGGATTGTTCCTCGGCGGTGGAATCAACCAACTAGTTGTCCAGGAAAGTGTTAATTTGGGGTGTTGGGACCCCAACGGAACTGGGGAGGGAGGAACCAAGTAGTCATTTTCAATGATTTTTGTTTTTCCATTTTTTAAAAGACAAAACAGGTCCTTATGGATCGGACTCCGTGGATACGACAATCGTCTTCCAAAGCAAACATAATTGTGCAATTGGTCAACAGGCAAGAAAGGAGATCAAGAAGAAAGAGAGAGAGGGGGGGAAGAGAGAGAGAGAGAGCGCGCGCGAGAGAGAGAGAGAGAGAGAGAGAGAGAGAGAGAGAGAGAGAGAGAGAGAGAGGGGCGGGGGGGGGGCAGAAAGAAAAAGCAAGAAGACAAAGTCCCAAGATTTCCCGAAACGTGACCAATGGCCGAAAAATTATCATTGAAAATGCCGCCAAATACATCGACAAGTAAAACCTGAAGTGCTGGCGCATCGACCATCCGGCCGCAAACCGGAATCGTCCTTGTTCAAGTCGCAAGGAAGGGACTAGACGCGTAGCAGGATCCAAAATAAGTACTGACAAAGAACATCCACACGAACAGACCCTTGTCGAGGGCAAACCAGAGAACGGACAAGATGCAGACCAAGTTCGTAATTCCAACAGAAGGTTCCAGAAAGCGAATGGACTAGACCGGTATGTAGACCACGAACAGAAGACTATAGAAAAACACACAGCGAGTCCACCGAAACTAACCGCCACCTGGGGTCAGACCCGAGATAGTAAAAACACTTCTACGCCAGTCACCTGGCTGCTTGCCAGCCCCCGATACCATTGAGATCCCTAATTTACCTCTGGGGGAAAAAAAATTAAGGGAAGGAAAAAGGAAAAAGAAAGGAAAGAAAGAAATGCGAGGATCTGTGTCCTCAGCAGGCCTAAGAGGCCCCGGTTGCAATGGTGCCCGCCCTAAGTGAAGGCTTGCCTAACTTATCCCAAAAGGCCTTTGACTGTCAATTTCATATTTGGGGTCCAGGCAGTTGCGACGCGCCAGTTGGTTGAGAAAAACGCAGGCCGAGCAACAAAGACATTTCCACGGCCTACCGGGCCTTTCCAAAGGATACAGGCCCTGGACGTGAATCGCAGCCTCATACACTGACAGTCGGGAGGCCCAACCAAACGAGGCCCAGTAGCTGCAACGCAAAGGCAGCATCCTGGGGCCTTCCGGAAGCTTCTGGGCCCAGACCAGGCCAATCAGGTTGCGCGACCAGGCCAACTATTTCCATAAAGGAAAGAGCTCTCCCCAGGCAGCCTCATTCAGGCACTCGCATGCTGGCGGCAGCGCTGCTGGAGCAAATGCTCGTGGGCTGCTGCTGCCGCTGAGAGGCGAGTTGCAGCATGTGCGGTCGTGCAGGGAAGAAGGGCGCTGCTGAGGGCAGTGCCATAGCCCAGCCACCATAGCTGGTGGGCTTGGACTACAGTGAGGCGCATGAGTGGTCTTCGGGTATAAGGGAGGAAGACATGGGTGTAAAGTCAGGGAAGGGTGAAGGATGATGATGATGATGATGTGAGGGCACATACCTTGTATTGGCGATGGTCTGCATTTGGGCGACATCTTCAAGTACTTCGGGTTGCCGCTGATGTCAACAGTTGCATTGTTACATCTTCGACGTCACACGGGTCCTACCGGACCCGACATAGGGTAGAGGGACACAGTAGGGCCAAAGGCCCGACCTTGGGGGTACTACAGGCYGTAAAGGCCTTACCTTGGACCAGACCCGACGGGCCGGCCCAAACGATGTTACCGTTTGGGCCTGGCGGCGCTCTTGAGGCTGCCGCCCGCCGGTTGGGGATGAACCGTCCATCTGGATGGTTCAGGGCACGGTCCGGCCTCGCAGCATAGAGGCCGACCTCTGCCCACCGGTACAAAGGTACCGGCCCAGCCTCAGTGAGGCTATCGACCCACCGGCAGTCTATGCGGTGCGGTAAGGTCGGCGCCAGAGCGCCGTTTGAGCGCTATTCTTAGCGCAGGAGCGAAGGACAGCAGCAGCGCGAGCTAGCGCAGCGGCAGCAGCGAGCGAGGACAGCAGCAGCAGCACGGCGGCCATCGCCGCCTCAGCAGCAACAGGACAGGTACCAGGAGGCGAGGATCTCTTCCTCCCTCCACGGTCCCTCTCCCTCCTCCTCACCTCCGTCCTCTCTCTCTCTCTCTCTCTCGCTTTCTTCTTCTTCTTCTTCTTCTTCTTCTTCTTCTTCTTCTTCTTCTTCTTCTTCTTCTTCTTTTTCTTCTTCTTCAAGCTGGAGACTTATACTAGTTGGACAGAGATCATAGTTGGACTTCGGTGGTATGAGACTGTGGTACTTACCGGATTGGAGACTTGGAGATTGTTGGGGTTGATACTTGGCGGCATCACAGTTCGGACACCAGTTACATTTGGACTCTGTATCTCCGACATTGGTGACTGATTGTCCTCGACATTTTGATCTTGTTGGATGACATTTKGGACTACCATMTCGGTGACCTATCGGATTCTATCTCGGTGACCTAYCGGTGCTRTCTACCTCCCCCACCTCCTTCGTCTCTCCTCCCACCTTTCATCTGTGTATGTGTGTACGGGATCTGGGCATCGTCCATGCTTGGCCCAGACCCCACCATCTCACGATTGTATGTGTGTGGAGTGATCTATGTGAGTCAGTCTATGTGAGTCAGTCCGTTTATCAGACTTCCGCTGCATATATGCTCATCCTACATTGGTTGATCGTGGTTCTGCCCATACTCATTGAAGTATGTACCAACATACCTTGTATTGGCGATGGTCTGCATTTGGGCGACATCTTCAAGTACTTCGGGTTGCCGCTGATGTCAACAGTTGCATTGTCAATTAGTAGGCTGATCGTAGCTGTGTAGGAGTAGGCTGGGCGTTGAGCGCCAAGTAGGAGTGTGAAGGGACTGGATTCTTGTGTTGGTGTGGAGAGAGAGAAAGCTCTCCTGGACATTGATTTTCAGTACTACGAACCTCCATTGGTGTATTATTGGTGCAATGCTGCTCTCTGGACACGGTGTGACTATCTGGCTTTCAATGTGATGGTGTAATCTGAATTTGTTATCTCGCTGTTGCTTATTTTCCTCGCAATTTGGTATCGGAGCTGGTTCATATTGCACTTCATTGGTTCTTCGCAATAGCTGTTCGGTGCTTCGCATGAGGTGTGGGGCAGTGATAAGGCTTGGGCGTTGAACATAAGGCGGCCCAGGGTCGTGTGGGCGCGCCGGGGAGCTATGTGGTGACATACGGGGTGTATGCTGGATGATGAGAGCTCGCTGATATGGCATATTAAGCCGAGGTGGAACTGCATTCTGCTGTTGGTTGTGCCGAGGCAAGCTTTTGGGAGACGGGCGAAGCCTCTGAAGGGCCCTGGACAAAGCACTCGGGTCACGGTCACCATGCCAACCCGCTGGGACTAGTACACGCATGCTTCGCCGCAAGTCCTTGGTTCTGCTGCTTGCGCAATAGAGGTCATGCAGGGCATGCCAGCCCTTTGACAAACGCTTACCAGACCGTCTTTAAATATTTATGGCGGGGACTCGGTGTTGACTCTGGCTGTGATCGTCGTCCTGTCCGCGACGTTAAATAATTCCTGAGGAGTTCGGGGGATCTCCTTAAATGCCTCATGATCAGCCAGATCAAACCGGGTGTGAGGATTGTTGCATGTGAGGGTAAATAATGTGCAGGGGCTGGCAGGTTCAGCGTTGACTTGGGGCACGGGGGTGGGCCGAATTGCACACCTTCAGACACGCTGCTCAACTAGATGCTCAGGGCGTTGACACAAAGAGACAACTCAAGAAGGATACAGGGGGAGGGGGGATTCCGGTAACTGTTCACAGTGGCAATCATTAGACAATCTGCCATCCAGTATACATCTCCAACAGGAGATATTATTTTTATTTTTGATTATCTAGGTGTTACAGACTTGACTAACAACTGACAGACAGCTGCAGACAGATTAGATCTTTGCTGCATTGCAATCTATTCTAGGGTAATCTGAAAATATATGTGATATTTCCTGTAGGATCTGACATTAGTTGTTACTATATCACCTAACTATTTCTGTTCAGGCCGATCGAAATTAGTTGTGTATTGTTCTCGGTTGTGTGTCAGGCTAAGGTAGGATTCAGTGTGGATTCTAGTTTAGATCACACACACTTTAGCTCATGAGTGATGCAAGCACTAGAGAGGAGGAGTTGTTAGTGGATGACCGTAGGGCTACTCGTGGAACAGCTTGCAGTCGACCTTTGACTTTCCTAGAGTTAGGTCTAGGAGACGAGAGGAGATTGCGGAGAGATGCTAGAAAGAGAGCAACGGCAAGGAGAGCAGGGGTAGTTGAGGATAGTGCCAGGTCTAGGATTTCAGCTAGCACCGGTACGACCATGGCTACTTCATCTACCATGTTGCAGGCCTCTTCATAGGCCACTTCGTCAGGAGTTAGTCAGAGTGGTTCTCAGGGGTCCGTTTGCCAGAGTGCTGGCTTGCGAGTTAGCCAACAGACTCAACTCACTCCGGCAGAAGAGCTTCAGGATGAGTTACAGCGGCAATTGGATGAGGCAGCAGAGAGGAGAAGGAGAGTAATCATGAGAAAAGCTAGACTAGGAAGTAGAAGAGAGGAGCTAGGCAGACTGGAAGCATTACATGAGTCAGCGCTTGACCCTGCGATACGAGCACTGCGTAACTCGCTGTTTTGTGTGGTGGAAGCACAGGATGTCCAGCAGGAAGTGCTGGCTGAACTAGTGGCAGGCCAGAAGGAAATTTTGGCTGCACTACGGGCTCCTCGTCCCATGATGAGGCAGCCTCAGTTTGCTGTAGTTCCCCCTTCGGGTGCAGGTCCATCAGTGACATTGTCGCCGGTAGGGCCCTCGTTCTCACCTATGTTTGGCATGCCCCCTCCGGGTGGTTTTGTAGCAACTAGTGGTCCGATTCATAGGGTCCCAGTCGTACCATCGACGACAGTGGTTACTACAGTCCCGCTGTCAAGCCAGGCCCAGGTTAGTGTGCAACAGCCTGTTTCAGTGGCTATGCAGCCACTGCAGCAAGCCCCTGGGCCCATGCAGCCTATGCAGTGGATGCCTAAAATACCCTTGCTGAGTCCAAAGCCCTTCTCCAACGACAGGAAGAAGGATGAGGATTTGGATACCTGGG